CCAATTCCAAAACCATTATCAGGCAAAAAACAGTATACAAAATTGCATTTGAAATTGAATTTGGATAAAGCTATATATAACAGCTATAGAGTACATAAATCTAACGCTTTATCTGTTGATCATTAACAAATTGTTTATTGCAGAGTGCTTTTTATAATCTTGTTAATCGATATGCGCCTAAAGGTGTTGAATACAAAAAAATTGACAATAATATAAAAGCTAACATAATTCGCAAAGTATGTTTATTTATTTACATATTGGTATTAATTTAATAGCATTACCTAACTAAAAATGATATTTACAGTTTAAAAAAAAAATCTATTATTTCCTGAATGTCTAGGCGATTGGACTTTATATTATCTCATGTGTCGCAAAATCAACACTATGCGTATGCTTTATTCTTTAAGGTCTGATTTTTCAAACATTTCCATTAATATAATTAATATTTTATGTAGGTGATAATGTGCGTCGTAAAACAAAGCTAGAAATGATAAAAGTAAAAAATGGACTAAAAACAAAGTTAAATAAATTATTTTAAATTTGCTTAATTTTATATTTATTGATAAAATTTCTATATAACATAGATCCAATACAAAGCTCTATCAGTAATAAAAAACAAAAGCAGGGAAGTGATATTACAAATAATACAGAATATAATCAATTGAATATCACAAATTTAGACCAAAGAAACAAGAGGATAACATCCTACAAGATACAACTAAAAATTCGAATGATAATAATGTATCTGATATCATTTCTATTATGGAAATAAGCAAGACTAAAGATTCACAAGACAAGACAACAAAATCACGCTCCAAAAAATTGAAGACCAATTATAATGCTAGTGATACGTATGTTATTTTAAAATATGTTGTTTATTTTAGCTATAAGTCTAACGTGCTAAATATATTTTATATTTTTATGATAATCCTAAGGATTCATTCCTATACTGAACATACAGCTCTCAATGAAAAAAGTGTCTTATCACACAAGTCATCCCGCATCAAAAAAAACAATAAAGCTGATGAACCGAAACATATTATACCTCACAGATCATCTCGTAAAAAAAATAATGATTAGGTAATTGAGCGGTAAATGTAAATACTGTCATATAATTGCAAATTACTTTATATATTGTGCTCAATAATTGTTTATTTCAGGTAAAAAAAATGAAATAAGTTGATGTATATTGCTAATTTAAGTAAAAATATGTAAAATTCTGCATTGAAATATTAAATAATATGTATAAATATTATTTACTTAGCAGATGATTTTTAAATGTTAGAATACAAATATTGACTTTTTCATTACATTCTATATTTAAATTATTAATAAAAAACGGATGATTCTTAAATATTATAATACAAATATTGAATCAAAATTAAACAAATTTACATCTGTATAATGTTCAATTTGGGCTCATTATTAATTACATTTAACGGATAAAAACAAATACACATTTTTTTTGATATTTAGTGAACGAATATTTTTCATAAGACACAAAAATGTCCTGATGTCCGCTTGCTCAAAAATTGAGTCGATGCATTATTGGTTACTTTTATTACACATGCTCTGGACTTAGCAACAGTCCCCGTTTCCTAGTTAATTAATGTTTTATTAGAGTTAGGCTACATGAGCGGTAATTTAATATGTTACATTTTTCAACATAATATGTCTTATATTAAGTCACATGATTTTTCAAAAGAAAAAATTCTTGTATAATGATATTATATAAAATTATGTTTATTAAAATCCTTTGTTATATACATAACATAAATAAACCAGCTTAAAATCTTGAAAAAAAACAAGACCTAAAATATTTTTAAACTTTTTAGTAAAAAATCATAGATTTTAATAAAATAATTGCAAAAAAATAATTAACGTTAATTTATGATACCTACTCTTATATCTTTAGTATCAGGTGGGATAGTCGCAAGCATTTATTACCACTTCTATTCAATGAACATGCTTTTAATAAGCTTCTGATAGAATTCATGCAAAATTTCTGACAAGCATTCCTGAAGAAGTGCCTCTGATTCTCCTAAATTTTTAGATGTTTTTGTTTGGCTCTAATGCGATGTTCTTCTTACCCCATAAGTGTTCAATGGGGTTAAGTTCCAGACTTTGTTCAGGTATAGCAATAAAATTATTTTCATTTCTTCAATAAAGTTTTGTGTTTAAGCAGTGATCTATGACTGCAGCGATCACCTGATTTGTTTATAAATATAACCTATGATCCATATTTATTAGTTTAGAGTATAATGAAGGACTATATAATACTATTTCCGGTAATACAAGATGTCTCACTCAAAAATTGAGTCGATATATGATTGGTCTTTTTCGTTACAAATATGCTTCAGACTTAACAACGGTTTTCGAAACCGTTTCCTAGTTATATTAACTTTATTAATTTTGTAATATTAGATAGATATATTTAATATATTATATTTATTATATTTATAGAACTTGTTTATCTCATTATATTATTATTATATTATTAGTTTATTAGCATGCATTTTCCCTTGAGTTGATAACTCGAAGTAGGTTTTAAAAAAAAAACAAGAATTTATTTGCTTCATTTGGTATTACTTACCATTACGTCTTCATACAGGTGTGATTGTAATAAATTTTATAATTAATTTGAAAGACTGAATTAAATCATCTAAGTTATATTTTACAGCCTACCAGTTAATAGCATTTTTTACACTTGTGTGAATTAATGCAATATCTTGCTAAAACAAATACATACAATTGTTCTCTTCAAATTCTTTTAAAAATAGTATCAAATGATAGCTAAGTATTTCTTCTATACACTTTTGCTATTAACCCAACCATTAATTCTTATCAAATGTTCTAATTTATATCAGAAAACACCTTCACATCAATATTTAACGATTAAAACAAGGCAATTAATACCATACTTTCTTATTTAAGACATCAAACTCTAATTTTTTTATCATTTGAAATAAGTAAATCTAGATTCATCACTTTATATGACCCTTTCCAATCTTTCCAATCATATATAATCCATAAATATCTTTCACAAATCTAATTTAAAGATATTTTTTTGTTACATTTAATAATGCTATTTGAAACCTATTTTAATATGTTGATTAAAAATTTACAACTTTTTCAAAATCTTTAAAATGTTTTTTTTTTAAATCAGAAACTTGATTAAACTTAATTGAGTTTAGAAAAACCTATTAAAATTTAGGTAAAAATATTTATTATAAACAAATAATTTAATCTTAATTATCCTAAAACTCAAATTTTCTAAAAATAGTTCAGGGAGGCATCTTTATTTATTCTTTTAAATATTAGGCTTCCTAATATATTATAAACTATTTTACTTGCAGAACATATTTACATATTTTGTTTTTAATAATTTAAAAAATTTTTTCTTAATTTTTTTTACTAATTCACATCAGTTTTTGTTAATAATATCATTAAAATATAGTTATTTTATTCAATTAATTTTTTTGTATACAGTGAACTCTTGATATAACGAATTCTAGGATCTGGATATCAACTTCATTACTTCATTATAAGCTTATAACGAATTTTTTAAAGAATTTAATTAGCTAGTTCACTATAGTAAAGGTAATTTTAATATATTTGA